AAAAGGCCAAACTATGTTGGTTGCCCATCCATCCTGTGGTTTGGATAGTAAGTGAACACAGTTTTTATTGAAGAGCATGAGCGAATCAGGAAACTCAGTAGTTCAGCACTCCTTAAACACCCATCATCTCCTCTGTCTGCAGTACCCTCATCTATGCATTAATCTAACCCTTGGTTTAACAATAGCTTATTTACTGCTTGAGTTAACAAATTCAGCCAGCCCACAATAAATTTTACCTTTATTATTATTATACATAGTCTGTAACCAAATGGCCCAGGTAACATCAGGTAGAAAGAGCCTGGATTTGGAATCAGATGGATTTGAACACCAGCTGAGCTCATGAGCCTGGGGAAACCTTGTTACACCCCTCTCAATCCTCTCAATAATATTCTCTGGCCATTTCTCAAATTTTCTTTCAGTGGAAGAAAAGGAGAGAAAGCCACAATGGAATGAGCAAGGCTCCAGTGGCGTGGATGTTTTCTGTGTTTCCATCCTCGGTTGGGCTTTAGGGAAAACCAGAAAAATATTGGCTGGCAGAATGAATCATTGTTGTTCGCTAAAGAAACATTCATGCATACGCTGTTATCTCTAGCAGCAATGAGACTGAGATATTGGAGGAAAACATCTGGTTTTGTCACACATGTGAAAGGAAAGCTGGATAGGAGGGGAGAATATTTCAGCCTGGAGCATTTGAAGGCAGCTGAAGGCTTCCTTTCCAAAGAGAACCCCGAAGGCATTTACTGCATACAAACTAGATGTGAAACTAGATCTGATAAAATGATTGGGAAATTAGACAGAGAAGCTTGTTTTACTGGCTACGAAAAATACAGCCCATTCAAATCTGAAATTGGACTGCTGAGATGACAAACTCCCCTCCCTAAGGAGGAGGGGCTGTAATCAGCATGTGGCCTTTCTGTTTTCTCACTAGCTATTTCGGGTCATTTTTTTCTGAAGACAGACATAGTTGTTACATTTGCAGATGTTACATCGAGTTCTTCACGTCTTGGATGTGTGTCTTCATTTGCAGGAAAGAAGTTTAATTAAGAAAACCATTTTCTTTCATAGGTCCTTTTAGCCTGGTTACACTGTTTCTATTTTGGAGGAAATTTTACCTGAATGTTTCCCTTAAATTCTTTTCAGAGTTCTTGGTCCAAGAATATAACTCAGGGAACATGTCTTCATGCCAGGTATAATAAAACTATCTATATGTAGAAGAAATCAAGATGCCAATGAACCATTTCAGGACAGAGAATGTGGGGTTGTGGGTGAGGGTTCTACAAATGTTTGCTCCAGTAATACAGGAGGAGAAGAGAGCTTAAGTTAGGAAAAGGAGCTTTAGCTCTACAGGTGAACACCCACTCACCCTGACATATAACAACTCACTTTTATTGCATGACATACCAGGCACTGTTCTTGGTATGTTACATACTTTCTTTCACTTAATTCTCATAGTTTCTCTGCAAGACACCAAGACACCTGCAAGGTAATGCTACAGTTGTCACTTATAGATGAGGAAACTGGGGGTTATGGCGTGTAAGTCACTTGCCCAGTGAATAGTTAGGAGAGAACTAGAACTCAAAAACTGCCCTAATTCTATACAAGCCCTTGACTTCTATAATAATATAATAATAATAATAATTTGGAAACAGGAGGAGTTGCAAAGGGGTAAAGGGAGAGCAAGTTTACAACTCTTCCTATTTCCAAATGTGTGGTTTCAGGGCAACTAACTGTGATTCGGCTTAGGGATGGAGCATGTGACTTAGACCAAGCCAATCAGGACAGGATCAAAGTTACTGGTCAGAAGTGATTATATGACCCAAGCCACTATAATCAGAATGCATAGCAAGGATTTGGGTAAAAGTATCTCTAGCACACTGTGCTGTGGATAGTGTGGATGTGAAATCTTCAACTACTGAAACAACTTGCTATTATAGGACTGCCTAAAGGTAAAACAAATATTCAGGGAGACCTGAGGTGGAAGAATGGCAGAGAAATGCACGTGGAGGGCTGATGATGCATGAACCTCCACAGGAGACCTTGGCTGACGTCTGAACCACCACGGGGCTTGGCAGTCCCAGGAGCTAACTAAGTTCCCATATATTTAAACCAAGTTGAGTTGCATTCTGTTAGTCATAGCCAAATGTTCTCAGTGATGTAATCACTGTCACAAGGGGCTCTTCTATATTCTGCCTGGACCCTAGTCTAACAAAGCTAGAATTTCCTTTAAAAAACAAACAAACCGGCAGTGCCTGTGGCTCAGTGAGTAGGGCGCCGGCCCCATATACCAAGGGTGGTGGGTTCAAACCTGGCCCCAGCCAAACTGCAACAAAAAAAATAGCCTGGCGTTGTGGTGGGTGCCTGTGGTCCCAGCTACTAGGGACGTTGAGGCAAGAGAATTGCCTGAATCCAGGAGTTGGAGGTTGCTGTGAGCTGTGATGCCACAGCACTCTACTGAGGGCAATAAAGTGAGACTCTGTCTCTAAAACAACAAACAAACAAACAAACAAGCAAACAAAAAAACAGTTCCATACAGAAGGATTGAAATTTCCCTTAACATACAGAGTAGGGCCAGTGGACACCAAAATGATTGGAGTGGTTCAGTTTTCAAAAGAGATCTTTGTGAGTTTGCAGCATGATACAAGTCTGAACCAAACTGTTACTTTTTTTTTTCTCCTTTAGGGAAGTTTATTGAGGACAAATGTTTGGAATTCTTGATGGCAATATTTGAAACAGCAGCAATTCTCTTCATAAGGCGAGAAATCCGTTTACATTTTTTCTGTAGACTGTGTGGGCCCTCTGACCCTGCCCCAGACACCACACAGTTGGCTGCCCTGAGAGAGCCTGGCTGGGAGTCTCTCACCTCATCCAACATGCCCTGCTCCCAGGGCTGCCACCCAAACCTGATCTATATTTCTGCGTTATGCCAGGGTGTTCAATAATAATAACGATGCTGGCATTTCTCCTACCAGAGCTGTTTGTATTTAGTAGGAGACTACTGAACATGACAATACTTTCTTAATTTACTGGAATGAAACGAAAGGTGAAATTTACAAGACATTAAAAAAAAAAAAGAACATATTTGGGGCAAAGAACCATTTTCTTTTTCTCTCAAATCATGTCCTTAGTGAGACTGCTATGTACTCGTGTGTTTAGTGTATTCAGCTGTAACTAGGATCTAGTAATCTGTTCCATATTATCCAAACCTATAGCCTCTGATATGTCCCCCCCCCATTTTCTCTCTCTCACACACAACACACACATACAAACTGTCAATTTAAAAAAGAGGGCAAAGGGACTGGAAAGGGAATAGTTGAGTTCTGCTGGTGCCTTTGGAAAGCTGTGACAGCTGTCCTGCACTGTTGGAACTTGTGAGGACAGAGCCTACCTAGGGCCTTTACTACTATTACAGATGCTTATTGAAAAAGGAGCAGGTGGATGTCCCCAGATAGAAGACATGGCCAGGGGGTAACAATCCTTCGCTGTTTCCATGCATAACAGTATCACCCCTGTGTGTACTCAGAGGTTTGTTCCGGAGCCTAACATGGCCATGTGCATCTTTTCTCCTGAGCACCATAGGCCTAGGTAAGGATGCTCCTATAATATCCCCCTTATATCGCAGAACACCTCAGATGTTGGTTATTTATTTATTTATTTGGTAGGTTCTTGCTCTGTTGCCCAGGCTAGAGGGCAGTGGCATCATCATAGCTCATTGCAGCCTCAAGCTTCCAGGCTCAAGAGATCCTCCTGCCCCCTGCCCTGAATAGCTGGGACTATAGTAGCGCACCACCACGCTGGGCTAATTTTCCTAATTTTTTTCAGAGATAGGGTCTCACTCTTGCTTAGGCTGGTCTAGAACTCCTAACCTGCATCAGGTTAGGAGCACAGCCTCCCTAAGCACAGCCTCCCAGAGTGCTAGGATTATAGATGTGAACCACTGTGCCCAGCCAGGTGCTGATTCTAAAGTTCAGATTCACCAAGCATTAAAAGCCTGCTGTTCCCAGTGGTTTAATTAAGTATATGTAGTCATCAGTAGCAACTAACATTTTTTTCAACTATGGAATTTCTTGCTCTTTTAATTTCTAACATAGTAGCACTTTTCTGACTATAAAAGATTGCAAATGATAAAGTCCACCCACCCATCCTACTCCAGAAGGAGCAAGAGAGCCAGACATTAGGATTAGGCCCAGTGGCCCTGGAAGGAGAGGGCAGGGCAGGGGGGCCCAGGGTGGCAAAAGGGATGTGGAGCCCACTGTGTGGCCTGCACATCCCGTGAGAGGAGAAGATGGGGGCTTCTGAAATGGCTCTGGCAAAAGGATGGGCAACTCGCTCATTTCTTGAGAGGCGAGTGCCTGACACACAAAAGGTTCAGCGGTTACTTTTTTTTTTTTTTTTTGAGACAGAGCCTCAAGCTGTCCCCCTGGGTAGAGTGCTGTGGCATTACAGCTCACAGCAACCTCCAACTCCTGGGCTCAAGCGAGTCTCCTGCCTCCACCTCCCAAGTAGCTGGGACCACAGGCGCCCGCCACAACGCCCGGCTATTTTTTGGTTGCAGCCGTCATTGTTGTTTGGTGGGTCCAGGCTGGGGATTCGAACCCGCCACCTTAGGTGTACGTGGCTGGCGCCTTAGCCGGTTGAGCTATAGGCGCCGAGCCCAGCAGTTACTTCTTGAGTGAATTGGTGAACGCAGTAATGAGTGCCGTCGTGTGCTGAGGTCAGGTTTTGGGGATGAAGGAGAGATGAAAGTTTGGGTGCGTGAGGCTCTGTTATCACTGTCTGTGAGGTTGCATCAGCTTCGTGGCCATCATGGTCCAGGGGTGGGGGGCCTGCCTGGGAGAGGCAGGGCATGCTTTCTCAGTGCTCTAACTTTAGTCAGGCTGTCATCTTCCTGGAGTTCTTAGAACTGCTTAATGCCATGCTAGCATCTGGAGGAAATGACTTTTTAACTATAGCACTGTACTAAGATTCTTTGAACAAAGGACAAAATGAACAATGTCGGGCTGGCTCCTTTTATTCTCAATAACTGTGGGCAGGTGCTCTAAGGAGTTGATAAGTAGGTGAGTCTGGTGTGAGGGGACTAATTAGAGAAGAAGGATTGACCCTCGAGACGGCTTAGTGACTACCAAAGGGCTCTTTAGAAGCAGATAATTTGTGGGGGGGCTTCATTACATCTGTAGAGTCTGGAGCCATCTGGTCCTGGGGCTAAAATTAGCAGCTGCAGTCCTTTGTAAGGGCTCTCCCCATCCTGGGCTGGTTCTTCTTACATGGTTGGTTCAGCCGGAGGAGCCAGGAGTTCTCCTGAGATGGAGCTTGCTGTGATTTTTGCTACAGGCCACCGTCAGGAGCTAATGATGGTAGCGTTGGCACAGGCCACGATGGAACGATTTTCAGTGTATACCTCCAGCAAAACCTGGTATTCTCCCTGCAAGCAACACAGGTAAAGTGTTAGGGTTGTGAGCCACAGTGCAATTAGTCACTAAACAAATATCTACTGAGCACCTTCCATGGTGCGGGGTGCTGCTCTATGCACTGGAGATAGTAGAGAAAGAGCTCTTCTCCTGCCGTGGAGCTTATTGTCTTACTGGGAGAGATGACCATCCACACCGTAGGGGACTACAAGGTGGTCAGACTCATGCAGGGAAGGGGTGGGCAGCTCTCGGGGGGACAGGTGAGTGCTGGCTTTTTGCTATTTTAAGTAGGGTGGTCAAGGAAGCCCTGCTGAGGCGGTGACCTAGAGGCAAAGGCCTGAAGGGGTTCTGGGGTGCTCAGTGCTACTATGGGCTGGCACCTTCAGATTGGAGGGGCAGCAGGGAGGCCATGGAGGGAGAGGAAGTGAGGCCAGGGAGATGCAGGAGGCCATACCCTTGGGACTTCACAGGCCATGGTGGGAACACTGGTTTCCACTCTGAAAGGGTTTTGGATCTTGAGAGTTTCCCCCCAGGAGTGGCCTGGTCTGATGTGTGTATCAGCGGGATCCATTTGGCTGCTGGGGCTGAAAAGACCAGGTAGGCACTGGTTGTGGTAATCCAGGTGAGTAATGAAGTAACTTGGGGTGGAGAGTGGAGTGGGGGAGAAGGTGTTAGATTTCAGAGAGATTTCAAAAGAAGAACAGATAGGATCTGCTGAGGAAATCCAAGTGGGTGGGAGAGAAAGAGATGGTGTGAAAGTGACTCCAAGGCTGCCGGCCTGAGCAACTGGAAGGAGAAAGGTCATTTTCTGAGACATAAAAGGCCGCTGGGGGAGCACAGTTCAACAGCACAAAACCAAAATGCTCCACAACAAAATGTATCGCCACCTGTCAGGTTTCCTTTCTGGCACTGACACTGCATAGAGGGCTCCCTCTGTTTACAGTTAGCTTTGAAGGCACCACCTGAGAGCTCTGCCATGTGAGGAGTCGCAGAAAGATCCCAGTGTGCAGTATGGACCCACGTCTGTTTTGCTTTCTGCCCTAGCGTCTCATTAGCCAGGTGGTGCTGACAGGTTAGTAGACACTGATCTGGAGAAGAAAAGCCTCAGGGGAGGTCGAGTGTGGCCAGCAGAGCAGAGGGACTGAGGAGAAGGAGGCACAGGTGACCCCGGCTCACCTTGGAACTGCCTGTCACCCAAAGGAGGAAAGGGGTGTAGTCTGCACTCTGCCAGGGAGAAGGAATCAATCAGACCACTGGACAGAAGTTGCATGAATGGTGGCCTTTGCTGGAAGAGAATAACTTTCTAGCAATTTGCTGAGGTTCAGAAGGGAGTGGACATCCTAACGCTGAAACAGTATTGGAGAGAGCCAGGCTCTGCTCTGGACAAGGGCTTGGGTGTGACTCTATGATTCCAGAGGCTCGCAATAATCTTCTAGTTCAAATATTGAGAAGCTGTAATTTTGGAAACTGTGTTAGGAATTTAACCAAAGCCATGCAAAAGTTAGAATCAATTATGCATAAAGACTGGCTCGGCTCGGCGCCTATAGCTCAACCGGCTAAGGCGCCAGCCACGTACACCTAAGGTGTCGGGTTCGAATCCCCAGCCCGGACCCGCCAAACAACGATGATGGCTGCAACCAAAAAATAGCCGGGCGTTGTGGCGGGCGCCTGTGGTCCCAGCTACTTGGGAGGCGGAGGCAGGAGACTTGCTTGAGCCCAGGAGTTGGAGGTTGCTGTGAGCTGTAATGCCACGGCACTCTGCCCAGGGGGATAGCTTGAGGCTCTGTCTCAAAAAAAAAAAAAAAAAAGACTGGCTCAAATTTCTGATTGTGTGTCATCTTCATCCTCCTCCCCATCTTCATCTACTTCTCTTTTATCTCTCTGTGCATTTAAGTACACACCCTGCACAATTATTGAAAACCAAGTGAATTTTCCATTATTTCTTTATGAGCCTAGGAGAAGATGCTGTAGGATGTGAAGGAAGGGTTTAGATTAGGAATCATGGATACACGGACTCTGGTTTAGGGATAAGGAGGTTTTTGGACTATGACTCATGGATACACAGACTCTGGTATTAGGGTATGGTTATTAGGCAACCATGCTGGTCTGGAGGCAGGTGGAGCTTGATAACGGACAAAGTGTAGCAGCTTTTCTACTGCTGAGGACACTGAGGTGGCAAGTTAGGAATTTGAAGCTGGCCTTGGTGATACATGTTATATCTACCAGTTATTGCTTTGGGACCCCTGTCCCCCTAGTCTCTAAATTCCAGTTCAGACAATAGCAGTCAATAGACAGATACAGGGCTACCGGGCAGGTCTTCAATCTGGACCAAGGCATGGGATGAGTTAAAAGGAAAATGATCCCAAAGCACTGAGGATTGAGCTGTGAGAGGAAAGCTTTCAGTCACTCAAGAACTGCCATGAGCCCAGAGCTCATCCCAGGGGGATCTGAGTGGAGGATGGGAAATGAGGTGATGGCTTCAAACGATCTCTGTCCTGTATTAGGAAAGTGAAGTTTTTGAGCCTGGCAGGCTGGGTGCGCTGGTCTATGGCCAGTGTAGGTATCTCATCTTGGGAGCAAAGCTTCCAGCTGCCTTTGTAACAGGCATGATGCCCTCACACTGGACACTACCACCTGGAGCACTGTTATTGGTTGAAGAACTCCAGTATTTCACGTCCTCCAAATGTAATAAAGCTTTTTATATCTCTGGTCAATTTTCTTTCCAAAGGATTCTCTGACTTTTAAGGCTTCCTTTTCCTCTCTATTTCGTATACTTGTTAAGGATAACTAGCTTTAAAAAAAAGCCAACAAAGCAAAATGAAAATCAATTGTTAGCAAATTTTACGTCAGTCTCTAGTTGGGGCTCAGAAGGAAAAAGGAAAGAAAAGATTTAAAGAAAAAGGCTACCTGGGATAATTTAAGTCCTATATTCTAGACTTAAAGAGAGATTGAGTTTTCTTGCAAAACTTTTGTGTTGTACTGAGGTCTGACTAGAAAACACTGGAGGATTCCAGAAGGGGAAGGCTGGAATCTTCCCAGCTATGGGAACAGCAGGAGTAGAGATCTGAGATGGTATGGATGTGGCACTGTGACTTAGGGACAGAAAGGAAACAAGCCCAGATATCACACTATGTTAAAGAGATTCTTTATGGAAAAGGAGACCCTTTTCTTGAGTCACATGCATGCTTTGGAGAACTGAATGAATAAGATTGAAAACAAAAGCATTTAAAATGATTACCTCTTTGCAATCCTTTTCACGTTTCATAAGATTCTCTTAGCTGCTCTTATCAGAGCGGCTTGAATTCAGCCATTTAGTAAAGTCACATTATTTTGAATAAAAGGAATTAGTTGGAAAATTCTACTCTTGGCTGTGAGCCTTGTCAGCAAATGCTGAGGATGTGGGCCTATTACTATGTATCATATTTATTTGGTGGTGGCCCACGAGTAACAGTGAAAGGCTGTACCTAGGGGGACATTGAAGTCTAGGGCTTTGTGTGTCTTCCTTTCTCTGAACGGCCAGCCTCCGCAAGCATGAATCTCATCGTGCATGCAGCTGCCTCCCACACACAGCAAGCAGTGAAAGCCAGAGGGAGTCCTCACAGACACTGGCAGTCCTGCTGGACAAGACACTGGCACTCCTTTCAGGAAGAGGTTGTATCCAGAGGATCCCCAAAGGTTCAATGGTGTGTAAAATGTTAAACACCAAAATGACAAAGCCAATGTGTCAAGCAATTTTAAGTGCCCACTAC